GACCTTTATTATCCGGATTGATGGTAGACTTAGTATTAGCGAGCTTTTTAGGAGTGGGGATGAATGAACCTCCTGTATCCTGACGTAAAGTATATGCTTCACTAGATATTTCTAGAATTCGTTCAAAAACATATCCAGATCCCTTTTTTAATGTTTTTTCAATATGAATATCTATTATTCCAGTAGATTTGGTTATATGTTTATCTATATCTCCTTTTGAAAGAATCGCTCGCATCTCCCTCTATGTCTATTTTCTATATATGTTGTATCAGTTGTATCATCTGGATTTCTTTTGGTTATCGAATACAGACATAATGCTACTATAGCTGATTTTATTTGGTCTTTTCTACGAAACTCTGTTTGGAGAACTTCTGTTATTTTTGGGCGAATTAGTCCCATAAGTTGAGGCATGTATGGCAAATTTTTATATTCTTCTGGATTATCTATTGGTTGAATAAAAGCATATGCTAAATTACCTTCAAGTTGTGGGACTTTTCCCACCCATTTGCTCATTAAAGATCGATTTTCATGTGGTCTTTCTAGATCTCTCCCAACTGGACATTCTTCAAAGTGTATATCCTCCACTTGAATAAAAGCCTCAGGAGTTGAGACTATCTCTTTCTTTTGTCCTTCTCTGTGAGCTTGAGTTGCTGGGCCTGGTCCAGCTTCAGAATCCACCTGACCGTCTTGTTGCTTAACCTTGCTAAGTTCATCCCTCTAAGAGACCTTGTTATATTTCTCTAACTCTTTTAATGTCGGTGGGCAAACTGCATCTGGATTATATTGTTCGAGATCATGATAAAGAGTTAGACAGTCATTCAAGTTTACTGGCATAATATGATCTCCTAAATCGAGTTCTTTTCACTTTTGAACCAATCTTTTTCCTCATGTTTTATAATGCTCACCAGACTTTCGTGCATTTAGATTAACCCAGTTCTTTATCTCGTCTTCTGTGATGTAGTCTAGACCAAGTGTAGGAGCTTCCTTTTGGGATTCTGTCTCAGAAACTGGAGTTTGGATTACTAATTGCAGTTCTGGAATTGGATTAACTACTTTTGACTTCTCTTTTCTTTGATCCTTTCCTTTGGTATAGACTACTGGAGCTGAGGCAGGATTTGGCGAACGAGATCTGGGTACATTAGCCTTCTTTCGACCCTCCTTTTGACTAAAAAATTCTGGAGGTGAATTACATTGATTTTTTTTACTTTGATAATGCTGACGAAGTTTAGCTGGTTTTGTAAATTTATATCCACAGCAAACACATGTAGTATCTTTTTTATCTGATCTATGCATGCTATAAATAAGTCTCACCTATTATATATCATGTAAACTTTTTCACAATTTAAAATATTTAATCCTATACCCCTTTTGTTTAATTACTTTTTTTCTATTTTCGAATTTATGGCTCCTTCAATCATAGATTTCGGGATGTAGCAGTTAACTTTTCTCCTGAAGGTCTTGACTGAAGGAGAGATCCGGTATGTGAGTATACTTTAGGATAAGGCCCAGATGTTCGATCAATATGAGGTTAGTCTTAGAGGTGAGATTTAAATATATTTGCTCTAAATGTAAGACAGTATATGTATACTTTGAGGTGAGATTTAGAGGGCCGAAGGTGCATTGCATGAGACTTATTTTTTTTCACCTAGAGGTTAGACTTAAATATGTCTGCCTCTAGTGGTAGGACTTTGAGGTAGAACATATCTTGTATATATGCTCTGCAACTGTGAACATTATTTGTTTTCATGTTTTGAACTTAAAGGTGAGACTTAAATATGCTCGCCCTAGAGGTGAGACTTATTTGACTTAATGAATTTCCAAACAAATTGACTTTAGAAAGGTTTCCTGTATATTACTTTTAGGTGAAATATAAATATAGTCGCTTAGAAGTGAGATTTATTTGTCTTAATGAATTTTTAAATGAATTGGCTTTAGAATAGTTTCCTGTATATCAAGAAAATAATGATATGCTAGAATAGACTTAATAACTTCTAAATCAAGTTTGGAAGCACTGAGCTGATAAATCTTACCTCAAAGAGGTGAGACTTATCGGGGATTTGTTTACAATAATGAATCAGCTCTAGAATTAATTCTATAATAACATGAAAATATGGTATGCAAAATGAGCTTGCAAAATCTTACACAGAGTACACTCGGACACTTCGATCCTTGGTACTCTGTGTTCGATTTAAGGTTAAGCAGAATAGCATACTTTTTTCATTATATTATTTGGGATTAAAAATAGGCCAACGTATTAACAAAGATGGTATACATCTTAGTCTTGGAAACCTAAAATTTGGGTAAGAAGATATGTTAACTAAATTTAAGCTCTAGCTCAATTTTAAGCATAAATTCAATATTGGATTTCGATATGTTTCCTGGTCTTGTAGGCTAGTTTGGGGTTTAATAAAAATTTCAAAATTTTCGTATATTAGGAAAGTAGCCGGGAGGCTACACACTATTTTTATACCTATTCAGAAATTTTGTTCCAGTACCCCCAAATTGCCTATATCATATACACTAGCATAAATAATTTACGTTAAAATATGGATTTGGGATATTTAGCTGAAAACACTGTATATGAAAATGATATTATGTATACATCTCTTATTTCTGAAAAAAGAAAATTACTAAAATCCTATCTGGCGATTATACCTAAAGACAAAAAAAGTTAGTACATTTCCGTATCCTTACAACAATGAAAATAATAATATTTTTTTCGTAAATACTTAGCCATGAGACCTTACATAAGAAAAAAGTTTTTTATTAATAAAAATTTATTGAAATATTCGTTAGGATCTATCTGGGATTATGTGTGTACAGTATGTAAATAACCTATATTATAAAGTACTATTCTTTTATTTCGATCTAAAGAATGACCAAAGGAAGAACTAAATATCTGTATATAAGATATCAATCATAAGAGAAATTTGATATTTTTTTTTGTTTCACAGGAGTTCTATTTACATGTGGTACAGTTTGATTCAAAGTCAATATATAATAATATTTTCACTATAATGTGGATCAAAAGTGAAAGGAAAAAATAGGTAGGGTATTTATAAAAAATATTATATAGATTCACATGTAATTATTTTGTGAAAAATTAGCTATTTTAAGAAAAAACTATTGGGAGCATTAGTGCAAATTTTCTAATCATTGATAAGTGAACTAACTAGATGAGAAAAAAAGAAGATGTATATAAATGATTTATAATAATACTCTAGCCCTTTTTTCAAATATAGTATACAGTCAACTCTTATTATAACGAACTCTATATCTTAGATCTCAACTTCACTATAAGGCTATAGTGAAGATTTTAAGAGATTTGATTGGCCAATTCGCTATAATAAGAGTATTTTTATTATATTTGTTCAAAAAATTCATTATATCAAGAGTTCGCTATATCAAGAGTTGACTGTACTGTTTATTTGTGAGCTGATAAAACTGTTAACAAATTATAATAGTAATATACATTTTTGTTTTATTCTAACAATATGATCAGCAAAATGCTTTACTGTACATTGAAATGAAAATTTAAGTCAATTAAATTAGATAAAATAAAAATTATATACCATTTATCATGTAACTCATACAAAAAATTTAGAATAAAGAGTTTTCAAAAACTAATTAATGTGTAATTAGCTATACACGTAATTAATTATATCAATAAAACTAGAATAATAACAGCATTTATCCAGAGATCTGCAAATCATAGATTCTAATCGACTCTATTTCCATTTTTGAATTTCTTTTTAATGACGCCCTGTCTTACAATCTATATGTAAATCAGGATGTGTTTTTTATTAGTAATTCAGAACTGCGTAATGAGTGATATAGAATATATCAGAACTTTTTTCAACTTGACGTTAATAGAAAAGTTTATTAGTATATACATAAAAATATTACTCTTGGCCAGGGTTATTAATAGATCCTATGACTGTGGATGCTGATAACATACTACTGCACTTAACATATTCTGTGAATATAATTTACATGAACTAGTAAGGCAGTGATGTTTACTGCAGGACATTAAAAGAAAATATAGATGACGTTTACATGCTATCTAAGCCACCTACATGACTTTAAAAGAATATCTTTTAGAAAATGATTATTTGTTTACGCATTTTAGGATCCTTATTTTTTGGCATTATTAAGCAAATTTACCATTCTTTCTATAATTATCACTTGATATAATGTCACAACTGATATACAGCTCAACCATCCTTTTTTACCTTTTCTCACTTGAGTGATTAAGCCAACTATGCAATTATCTATTTTATTTCTATAATATTCTGCTTTGAAGATGAGTCTATCTTGACTGGATGCATCACAAAACGTTTTCATACTAAAGAGTTCTCTTATTAAAAAGTGATATACATTTTCTCTTGGATTATCACATTAGTTTTTGAGCTTAATTGAAAGATTAATAAAGTTATCAACCTAAGGCATACTTTTTCGATTATATGATAATACTTCGTAAACTTCATTAACTATTAGACCTTGATACACAAGTTTTTGTAATTCTGTATCTGTTACTATAAGTCTTCTAGACTGGATCTTATTAGCCGATAGTGTAAATTGAATATATCTTTTATTCTTTTTATGAACCATAATTACTCTTGACTCTAGAAGAGTAAATTCAAATTTTCGAAGAAAATAAATAGAATAAATGACTGCAGATATAATAACGTAGTTATTGCAGAGAAATTTAATGATGACGTTTTATTGTACATGATATCTAAGTCACCTATGTGATTTGAAAAAAATAGATAATCTAGTACTAAAGTATGTAATAATTTTTTTAGGCGGTTACTGAAGAGATAATAGGACTCATCATTGGTAAGAGTTTTCTTTCATATCTTCCATTATAATAATAATAATCTCTATCATATTTACCATATTCATTATATCTACTATATCCATCATCATTTAAATCATCTAGCATCTCTTCTTTAGAATTATTGAAATCAGAGTCATTATCTGACTTGCTTTTGTATGTTTCTCCTCCTGATTGCGAAATAGCTTTTTTATTCATTTTTTTACTGACTGGGATGTAGAATCAATTTTTTTATTAAAATACACACAATCCTTCGCATAATTTTCCAAGAGCATTTTGTAAAAATTGTTCTCAACCTGAATTTCTTGGCTGATTTTTTTGGAATCATCAGAAAAATTAGAATCATAGATTAAAGGGATAGGTGCTATTGATTTACTTACCTCTGCTAAAACTAAGGAATTTGCTCACATCTCTAATGTATCAGTTTGACTGAAAAAATAATTGTTAATAAAATTATCCTGATTCTCACTGAAATCCATGCTGAGCTTATTTGAGAAATGATCTATAATCTTTTAGATTTCATCATTAGTAAACTTTGATATTTCATTTGCACTATAGGACTTAATATACTGGATTTTATCCAATCCTATTTTTTTGAGAAGCTTGTAAATCTTCTCAACTCTCTGAGTTTTTTTACGTAAACTATCTCTTATTATATCTGGAAGTAGCATCCCTTTCCTATATCTTGAGATCTTTTCTTATGAAGGATATTAACTTGCCACAATTTTATATTATATTAGACCTCTTGCCTTCTTTTCACCAATTTTATTTTTATCACACAAGGCCTCTAACTAAAATATGAAATTTCTTTTATAGTGATACCAACAAAATATTTTTTTTTGATTTACTTCTAATCTATGCTTTTTTGCAATAAGCGCTTTATCACATAACTAGACCAAATGCTAAGATATCTCTATCATAGTAATCTTATGAAATGAAGACACTAATGCTTCTAAATTATTAGATTTCTGAGACTGTACAGTCTCAGAAATTTTAGTCACATTATTTTTTTTAGTACAGACGAAGAGATTTCTTGAATCAATCCCTGCCTATTTTTTTCACTTTTCTTCTCCTTATTGCGTTACTTTATTTCACTACTAACGATTTTCTTATGAGCCTCAAACAAGAAATTATTCATATCTTTCTCTACTAACAATTTGTTGTTAACTATTAAGGCACTTCGTAAACGCTTCACAAAGTTAGCAGATACTGTAGCTACCTCTGTTACCAGTTCTTGTTTATTATAGCAATCCTCTTCAGGAAAGTAATAATCTATTTTCACATCTATTAATGATTTCTCATGATACTCCGCAACTGAATTAAAGTTAAATATACTATTATTAGAAGGATTATTATTATTTGACTGCTCTTCTACTGGTAAGAAAGCCTGTTCCACTATTGCAAGTCTGGCAGAATCCTGAACAATATATGTATATGTTAGATTTGAGATTGCTTATTAAATATAGAAAATTTTTGATTAAGTTACCTAAAATTTTGCATAGCAAATAACAAAATTTTAATATAGTTAGATATGTATTTGCATAGCAGAGATAAAAATTGTCAAACTCAGTAATTAGTTTGCGTAGCATAAACATATTTTTAGAAATATGTGTAATGTCAAATATAATCCAAAAAAGATAAATATACCTCTTAAATTAAGACATGTAAATAAAATCAACATGTAATTTTTAAATTAATTTAATATGTGATGGTATAACAAAACTTTAATCTATTTTTATACGTGATTGTTATTTTGTTATTTTTCTTTTGCTTTTTCTGTAAAAAAAAATT